GAGTGCACATAAGGGCATTCATCACTTCTTTTCTGATGCCAAATAAAATATGCTTCCAATAGGCTATCCATTAGATATATACTGCATGAAACTTCAAGACAATATACTAAAAAGTTAGCGGGTCCATATATTATTCTTAGTTAGCCTAATGTATTCGTGTCTTCCTAACAGATTAGAATTCTCTTTTGGATCAGCGATCTTTTTTAGGCATTGAATTTGAGAAGGTAGAAAAAGTCATATTTTCGAGGCTATATATTTGGATATTACTATAAGTTCTACGGGGCTTTCTGTTTGGCCTTGAGAATTAAGATTATATTGGGAAGGAGGAAAGTACCACTAAGAACTAAGTATACGCAAACCCAGCAAAAAGATATTTTATAATTTTTTGTTCATTAGCTTGAATATATGCAAACAATAATTTGATTTAGGCATATAAGAGAAGCTGCCTAGTCTCTGTATTTTTAAGGAGGTAAGTATTTCTGATCTGAACAATTTTAACTAACTTAGATTGTAAATACTCAAATGCCAGAAAATAAAAAATTATAAAGTCCCCACAAAGTAGACAAGTATTTTATATTTTTATTTATTAAATCTTTGCTTCTTGTCTTTTTTGTGTTTAATCCACCCCTAGGAAGGTTTCGCTTTCTATCCTTTTCATTCTTCCCCCGCAATCTACGGTAATGCCGATTATCATCCGCTTACAGAATCTACCTATGTCTGCAAATGCAGCTAACATCCGTCGTTTTTTCTCTGGTCTCACAATACCTGAAGGCGGGGTTCATATTGTTGGTGGCAACGATGGAGATGCCTTTATCGCCTTTTCTCAGGAGGATGATGCTCGCAAGGCAATGCTCTTGGACAATCAGTCGATTAACGGTGCACCCATTCGTCTCTTTCTTAGTAGCAAATCCGAAATGAAATCAGTGATCGAAACTGCCCGTAATTCAGCTCTTTATGGAATCCCTTCACAAAATCAGCAGTCTTCGTCCCAAGCCAAAGCAGAAGATCCCTTAAGACCCAGGCCTGGCCAGCCTTCAACGACTCAACAGTCCGGACTTACTCTTTCGACTCCTCATCTAGGTTTTCCTAACGGTTCTGACGGCATGCAATTGCAGCAACAGCCTCTCACTTCAGGGTTTTCTACCTACCAGTATGGCTACGGAGCTCCACCCCAAGAGCGCATGGATGCACAATCATCTAAAAATGCCCTTCCCTCCACTCTTCCTTCCGATTCTTATGCCTCGTCTCAATATGGGCGGGAGGGCAGAGATTCTCAATCTTTTGCTCGTTCGCAAATGGAGTCCGCTGATCCAAGACAACATTCCAGGCCCACACCTTCGGATCAGAGATCAACTCCTGGAGGATACAATTACCAGACACCTCAGACTAATTATGGTTACCAGAATGTTACTCCATCTCAATCTCTAAATGACTATCCTTCCGCTAATAAGCCTCCGTCACAGCCAACTCCATCGGCCGATCCTTACTGGTCTCAGCGGGATAGACCTTACCAAAGCCCTTATCAACAACCTCCTCCAACCGGGCTTCCGGCTTATAATTATAGTGATCCGTATCCGCATAAGCACTCTTCATCTCAATCACAGCAGCCTCAGCAGCCCCCTCCGCAGCACTATGATTATGATCGGCGTTCTATGTCTCATGGTAAAACAGATGACCCTTTTGGTTCTCAGTCACAAACTTCTCCTCATCCCCCTTCGACTCCGTCCGTTCCTCCTCCTGTTTCTCAGGATTCTTATCCGGGCTATAACACTCATATGCCCCCGCCGCATGTGGAAGATCCCAGAAGGCAGTCAGGCCCTGAAGAAATTGCCATGTACAGCGGTCGCCCTCCACCAAGAACTCTTCCCGATCAGGCCCCTTATGGCCCGTCTCGTGTCAGGATGCCAACTCCCCTTGCTTCCGGTGATCAGCCCTATCCAAGGTCAACTGTTGATGAGCATAGTTACCAACTGCCTAGGCTTGGAGCATCTGAGAAATATGATAAAGAACGGGAATCATCTAGGCCATTTGGTGGTCCTCAACTTCCTCCCAGGGGCCCAGGGAATCCCGAGAGGGATTTTTCGATTAGGCCACCTTGGCTAGATGCGGATGAAGGGCGGTCGGGATCTGTGCAGAGAGGCAAAAGGCCTGGTGAGGCTCCAGTACCTCCTGGTCCTGGTTTCTTTCACGATGTCCACAATGATAGCCAAGAGGATATTGTCATGAAAAGGCGGCGCGGACC